CAGGGAAGTCGTGCTCAGCAGCTGGGGGCGAGGGTTTTTAAAGTGGTGGTGAGGAATGTATGGCAATTAGCATACGGGGGCTGGAGAATTGCTTGTTGAACATCTGGTTTCACTGGTTATCACTGGTTATCGTATCTGGCGGTTATCTTACCTGGGGCCATCTGCTGCTGACCTTTGGGACGTGCAGAGAAGCACGTGCAGGGCCTAGACCTGCTTCACTTAGTCCAAACGGGGCTGCCTAGTTCGGACCCGGCCCAAACACAGAGTCCTACGGGAGGCGGGGAGAGCAAGAAGGTCCAGGTGGGCAACCAAGCCACACGTGGACACGCACAAGCTCACAGCTGCCCTCCCGGCCCCGCCTCCACGCCGCCGCGTCCGGGCGAGAGGAGGCGCCCGCGCGCCCCCCGCCGCGCCTGCGCAATGGTGACGGGTCAGTGCGCACCCCGCCGCGCCTGCGCAATGGTGACGGGTCAGCGCGCCGGCGCAGTGCGTCGCTCACAGACTGCGGCACAGCCCTCCTTTTCCTTAGGGTTGACCCAGAAGAAGGAAAGATGGTGCTGGATCTGGATTTGTTTCGGGTGGATAAAGGAGGGGACCCGGCACTTATCCGGGAGACGCAGGAGAAGCGTTTCAAAGACCCAGGGTTAGTAGACCAGCTGATGAAGGCGGACAGCGAGTGGCGACGATGTAAGTACCTGGATCAATGGGGCACCCCTCTGGAACCTCTCATCGCCCTACTGCCCTCAGGCCACCGCTCCCACGTCTCGGCAGACCTTCTCCCATGTTGCGATGTTCCCGAGACACCCGCTTTACCCAGAACATCCTTAGGTGCCGACAGCTTCCCACTTTTCCTTTCCTCCGGAGCCTTGCGAGGTCCTCCCGCGCGTGCGCAGAGCGAGTTTGGGCGGCTGGGAGGCGCATTGCGCACGCGCGTGAGAGCTGTCAAGCACTCTGCCAGATGGGTAGCCGGAAAAAATCCAGGGCGGGAGATTTAGGGTCCGGGGATGTGCCCCCGCGGCCGCCCGCTTTTTCCAATGCCTCCGGTATTTTTCATCCTTCGCGAGGACAGCCTTCTCGCTTTGTTAGGGCCTAGAGACGGGTCAGATCTGCAACACAGCAGGCTCACTCCGCCCTTTTACAGGGAGTATTCGGGCCTTCTGAGGCCGCCTCCGGCCAAACGTACATCTCCGAGCTTGGGGGAAAGCCATCCCTGGGCCTCACGGGGACGTGCAGCAAGATAACAGAGCAGCCTTTCTGCTGTACAGCAGACCGGAGGAGGTGTGGTGGTTAGGGAGGCATGCAAAAGTTAGTAATTGGGGCTGTTTATTTGTGATTTGTAGCAGTTCTCTGCAAAAGACATTGGATTCGATGATGAATTCATCTAGGCATCGTTCATGAAGCTAAACCATAGCGCGATTGGCCGGAGTGGTCGATGGGTGGCCGGATGGTGTCAAGGGCCATGTGATTCATTTTGTCTGATGCAATAGTTCAGCAAGCAGCCAGAGTCGCATTTCTGACAACATGCTGCAGAGGCAGCCGCTGGGGGTGATCGGTTGGTGTTAGGAAAATTGATTTTCCAAATGTATCAGGGTGGTGGGTGCCAGGGGACGCTGTGTTTAACGCTGGTTGCCACAGTTTCTCTGTGTCTCAGTCATTCTAATGTGGTAGCTTGTTTGCCTGTGAGAGCCCACGTTTGAATCTGAAAATCTGAATTACAGTGGCATTAAGTTTTGCCATATTTTATGTCTGGGGAAAAAATAGTTACTATTTCACTGATGTTGGGAGTATCAGATTATTATTATTTAAATCAGTCCAGCCATTTGGCCCATTTCATGCAGGGTAGAACTGGGGTCATGATAGGTGGGGTGGGGTAGGGGGGAGAATTAAAAATTAGAGGAATGTTGTATGTTTCTTCAGTGCTGTACTGCACCCTGGCTGGCTCATCCCTTCCTTGTGACCCTTCTGTAAGGGGATGTCCAATTGCCTACAGTTGGGCTTTGAGTCTCCACTCTGACCCCCCTCGTTCCAATCAATATGATTGTTTTGGGTCTTCTGATGCCTGATACCTGATCCTGTCAACACCTCATGATCACACAGGCTGGTGTGCTTCTTCCATGTGGACTTTGTTGCTTTGTGTTTTCCCTGCTAGACAGCTGCTTGTTTATCTTCAAGCCTTGAAGACCCTGGACACTATATCTTCTAATAGCCGGGCACCATTAGTTTTCTTCACCACGTTTGTTTATACACCTATTTTAACTTCAGTGATCATGTCAGGAAGATGAGCATCACAGAATACCAGGATATTAGAACCAAGTGTTCTTGGGTTGAGGGAGGACTTGAGAGAGGCCCAATGTCTGTGTGCTACCTTGATACATAACCTATAAATATATGTACATAGACCTATATCCCTATAGTTATATATGAATATATTTACATATATACATGCCTATATTTATAGCTGTATAAATGTCTTTTGCCTGCTAGTTCTTACCTCTATTTTCTTTTACTTTCTTGTCCCACTATCATGTTCAACATTCATTCGGCGATCAGTAATTCTTTCAGCTGCATTGTACTTGATCAAACGCCACCAGGCATTCTACACTTTCCTCGACATTGATTTTAGATCTCTTATTGTTCCTCATCCCTGGGTTTTTTGGCTCCCCCTTCTCTTTCTCCCACCTGCCCCACTCCC